CTAAGTGTGTATTTAGTTCTGTGCAGCTTTATCATATGTGTAGATTTCAGAGACTACCTCCACAGTCAAGATACAGAGCAGTTCCATCCCAAGGATCCTTGGTACTTCTTTATTGCAGTCATGGACACCTAATCTATAACAACTGCCTAATTCATATCCCCTCACCCTAATCCATAATAGCCATGAATCTATTCTCCATTTTTATCATTTTGTCTTTTTAATACTGTTGTATAAACGGAATCACATAGTATATAACCTATTGAGATTGGCTTTTTTTATTTAACATTCAAGCTGTTGCATGTATCCATAGTTCATTCATTTTTATTGCTGAGTTGTATTCCATTGTATAGATATACCACAGTTTGTATAACCATTCACCTGTTGAGGACATCTGGGTTGTTTCTAACTTTTGGCTATTATAAATAAAGCTGCTATAAAAATTAATTTACAGGTTTCTGTGTAAACATAACTTTTTATTTCTCTGAGATAAACGTCCAGGAGTCCAATTGCTGGGTCATGTGGTGGCTGCATGTTTATATGCTTTATATGAAGCTGCCAAACTGTTTTCTGGATGTTCCTACCAATAGTGTCTGAGTAATCCAGTTTCTGTGCATCTCTGCCAGCACTTTGTATCGTTGCTGTTTTTTATTGTAGCCATTCTGATAGGTATGTAGTGATATCACACCTATATATGTACTGCATTAATGTACCATTCCCTAATGGCTGATGATATTAAACATCTTTTCATGTGCCCGTTTTCCCTATTCTCTTTGATAAATGTGCCTTTGTGTCTTTTGCCCATTTTTAAGTGTGTTTTTTTTAATGCTGAGTATTTAAGTTCTTTATATATTCTAGATACAGGTACTTTGTCAAGTATGTGATTGGTAAATATTTTCTCCCACTCTGTAGCTTGTCCTTTGTCCTCCTCAAAGGATCTTTCCTAGTGCAAAACTCAAAACATATGTTTTATTAAAACATAAGTTTATTTTTTATTCATTGAATGTATGTCACACATACTGAGAACTAGAAATTCCTTAAGAATAAATGTAATTTATAGATGCATAATGCTTATTGCTATAAAGGTGCTTGTTTGTATACTAATAAATAATAAAGGTACTTAGGTAGCAAAGATATTAATTATATATTTTTTCAAATAAGGAATTAGCTAAAATTTGAAATGAGGAAATGGGTCATCAGACCATCTACTTTTACCAGTTTTGATGGCGTGGGACGATGGAACATGAAGGCAGCTTACCAAGATGTGGTGGCTTTGCACTACATCACTTTAGCTAAGTTGGGACTATGTTTCTTAGAATTGCTTTTGCAGGATGATCTGGGTTAGGGCTAACCATAAGAAAAATTTCTGCAAGATTTGGAGGGTGAAAGTGAAGTGGCTGTGGTCGCATTCAGAAGGTCGGCATGGGCTTTGTTGCTGCCAGACCTCGTGTATGTTGCCACAGAAATGCTGGTGAACTTACTGTTGGTTTGCAGCAGCAGCCAGGCCCTCAGCTCCTCCAGTGCTTTCCAGATGTTTCTCTTTCAGGTACTAGGAATCATGTGCAGGTGTGGTATGCCGCTCTGCAGGAAAGAGTGCCAGACTTTTTGCAAGCCACTAGCATTATTACAGTTGGAGCCTTAAAGGCAGTGGGAACCAGACATATATTTTAGCTCATCCTTGTGGGTTCCAGCTTGCCCTTGCTTCCTCCTCCTTGAAGTCCATTTACTCTCTCTTCCAGAATGGCCCTGCTGTTCTGCTGGCTTTCAGCTTGAGTTAGACACAGAAGCATCACAGTTACATAGGCTATTTAACCAGCTCCAGCAATTGTAAAATGTCAGATCCCTGAAGTACATCCCTTCTTCTGAATCAGTCTTGGTAATTCTGCTTTTCTAGTCAAACCCTAACTGATACAAATGACCATCTGTTTGTGTTCCTTAAAGTGGATTTAGAATTATAATGATTTTCTGTTTCCAATCAAATCTCAGATTCGGTCTTTTCATAGGATCATGCCCAAGGGCATGCAGGAATATTTTTGGACCATAGTGGTACAGAATCAAAACATCTGCGACTCTGTAGCAGTAACTTTCTTTTTAAGATTTTGCTTCTTTATCCTCTGGCCATGACCTGTTTGTAAGCCTGAAATCAAGAAGAATGCATTAAGCTACCCTGTAGACAGTGAATTGACACAGAACCAAACTCTGTGATATCTATAACACCTCCTGTGAAAAAGTGGTCCTGAATGGTTTAAAAGAAACTTAGCTTTTTAATTTTATACCCCTCTTCTCTTGGGAAGAAGATATTGCTGAATTGTTTACAGTGCCATTCCATTCAGTAAGCAAGTGGAAGTCTGCTTCAACAAGCAAGAACCAATGATTTTTTTAATGTTAAAGATGGAGAAACTAAGCAAATTAAAGGACTTTAAACTCCTGATTCTCTCTCTGTGTGTTTAGCCTATTAGATTATATTTGCTATAATGCTTTATTTTATTAAGGGCTTCTGGTGGTATTATGAACTGTAAGAGTGAAAGTGGGTAGTTTAAAACTTCAGAGCTAAAAAATTGAATATCTTATGTGCAGCTATAGGAATTTGCAACATTTTAATGTTTGATCTTGAAAGTTTTTTGCAGCAGTTTGCATTTTTTAGTTACAAATAGTATGCCAACCATGAAAATAAACACCAACTAACCTTCAAGCCCAGAACCTTAAATAAATGGTGATATGTTCCTTTTGGTTCTATTCCTTTTCATTTGACTTCTGTGGAATTTCATTTGATACAGCCTGTTGCTACATTGCTGATAAGTTTGTTTTCTAAGTCCATCACAGGAAGCAAATGAAGATTCTGTATGATATGTGACTAGATTGTCTGGGATGTTCAATGACAGAAATAGCCAAGGGAAAATGTGATTGGAGGCAAGAAAAACTTTAAAAAGAAAAATGAAAAACTGCCTTTGAAAAATTTTTGCCACCCTAAGGTTATCTTGGAAGCTCCAAGAGGAGGAGGTTGTGATTATAATCTGGTAGGATATGCTTTAGACTACAGCCTGGTAGTGTAGGAGGGATGGAAAGTGAGAGGGATATATTTTTGGACTCATGAGGGTTTTTATAGGTGAGTCCCTGAATGAAGGCTGGGAAGTCACCTTCTGAAGCAGTTTATTATTACCAACCAGTGTCTTTTCTATCTTTCTTTGGAGCTACATTCATATTTTTCCTAACTTCGAGTATGTTGTCATCTCACTTAAAGAGAGAGGTAAGGAATGTCTGATCATGCCCACACAATGGCAGTGTTCCTTTTCCAAATGATAAGATATGGTTTTTGTTCTATAGCATCCTTTTTGATCTGCCCAGTGGCTACCTCTCTGACCCCAATCTACCAATTTCCACCTCATTCTCTGCACCAGCATTCCAGATCCCTTGTTCTTTGCACAGGCCAAACCCACTGCTACCAAAGGCCTTGCATGTGTTGATGGTTCTCCCTGAATGCTTTTCCCCAGATCTGTGCAGGTCTTGTGTGCTCACCACCTTAGGTTTCTGCATAAATGTCACTTCATCCCAGAGGCCTTCCCTGGTGGCCAGGTGGTCTAAAGTAGCAAACCCTCCTCTGTGTTTTATTCTTGTTTCCTTACCCTGCATTGCCTTAGTATTCCTCTGAATGATGCTGTCTGACTTTGCCTTAGTATTCCTCTGAATGATGCTGTCTGACACCATTTTTATTGTTGATTTTTACCTCCCCTCACTACAGTGTAAGCTCCGTGAGGTTTATCTGTAGCACCTAGAACTAAGCCTGGTTTGCAAAGTAGGGACTCAAGAATAATCATTGAAAGAAAGAATTTTATTTGTCAATTAAAAATAAATAAATTTTTTAAAGAATGAATAAATCTTTTTTGTGAATGTTCAAAAGTTTTAGGTAAATACTAAGGTAATGCTACATGATTATAATGTAGAGAAAAAGTTTACTTGGTTTACTTTTTGGCTAATTTACCTTTGTTCTTTCTCTCTCAAAAAGAAAAATGGAGGCAGACTAGGAATTTCCTCAGATATATACAGAGGACACCAGTGGGTTCAATTTACTGAGAGATTCTGAAAGGTATGACTGTGACTTTCTATTGTGACTTGACAGGACTGTAACTCTAGGTAAGAGATTGAAGATCTGTAGCACTTTTGGATCCTACTCTTCTTGGGTTGCAGATTGAAGCACAAATGGTTGGTAGATGCTTGCTGCAAAGTTCAAGGTGAGAGACAGCAGCTGTACCTTCAAAATCCAGAATTATAAGGGTTTGTCACAATTTTAGGACCCTGATCTCAGGGTCCTAAAATTCATCCATGCCTATGCTTTCTATAGGGAATGGCCTTGTTGGATCAAATAGAGTACAAGGACCTGAAAATATTTTATCAGAGAAACTAACATGACAGTGATTTTTTTCTGGTCTTTGTCCTGGATTCTTGAGAGGAAGCTTCTGATCCCTTGGAATTTCTCAAGTGAAAGGAATGTCATTATTCATGATGGACTCCTGGGATCACGCCTAAGTTTATGTTAAAAAGGAGTTGACTCATGGTGGGCTGATAGATGGTTACAGGATGAGGGCTGGCTGTGGTATAAAGAGCAGTTATATGATTAGATGATTGGGGCTGCAAGGCCTGTGTTATTATTCCTGTATCCCAACCTCCTAGGAGGGAAGAGGGGCTGAAAATTGAGTTGTTATGTGATCGGTGATTCAATCAATCATGCCTACATTTTGGGACACACCCCCAATAAAAACTGTGGACACTGAAATTTGCTTGAACTTCCCTGGTTCATCAATCAATCATAGGTTGATGTGCTGGGAGGGTGAAGCATCATGAAGAAACAGAACATTTATGCACAGGACCCTTCTGGACCTTGTCCCACAGGTTTCTTCCTTTGACTGGTCCTAATTTGTATCATTTATAAGAAAACTAGAACCATAAGTATAAGGTTTCCAAATTTCTCTGAGTTGTTCTAATGTTTCTTCCTTTGACTGGTCCTAACTTGTATCATTTATAAGAAAACTAGAACCATAAGTATAAGGTTTCCAAATTTCTCTGAGTTGTTCTAATGAATGATCGAAATTGAGAGAGTTGTGAGAGGCCCTGATTATGTAGCCAGTTGGTCAGAAGTACCAATGGCCTGGGGAAGCTGTGGCTGATGTCTGAAGTGTGAGGAGTTTTGTGGGGAACTTTGCCCTCAACTGGGAAGTCTGTGTTAATTCTGGGGAGTTGATGTCAGGCTGCATACACACAGGTACTCTACCAAACACACATCTTTAAAAGAAAACAAAATGCTAAAAATTGATAGCTCAGTTAAAACTAAAATATTTGGCCTTGGTGTGTTCTAATTTTTATTGTTTACTGGCTCTCTTTTTGAGGATTTTCTTCTACCTTCCAGATATGTTTACTGATCTTCCTGCCCTCAGTTTTCTTACCCTTTCTTTGGTACAATTATTACTCTAATAGCCATACTATTACTCTAGTACTAATGTGACAGTGACAATAACCTCGTTTCCCATGGAGCAGCTTTCCCGTGGGGCAGCTTCCTCATAGCCAGATAAGGATGTGATGCATTGGACTCAAATCAAAGCCGTGAATTTTGCTTTTGCTGCAGAGTGTCAGTCTCCCCTCTGCACTATTGTTTGCATTGGTGCCTGGGAATTACATCATTTGGTACTTCAGATACATTAAGTGATGATGATTTGCTGATTTATTCCTGCTACTGAATGGAATGCAGAAAAAGAACAACCAAAATGATTGAGGGCCAAAGGGATTTGCCTTAGAGGAAAAATGAGAAGAACCAGATGTTGTTATTTATTGATTGAATGATCTAAGAAGACTATGGATACCTCTTATAAGCATTTGAGAGCTGTAATGATGGCAAGAGGGGTGGGGGAAAGAAAGACGAACAGTAATAGAGAAAGACAAGAGAATGTGCTGTATGCTTAGCATTGGGCTGTGGAAACCCACACAGAAAGCATTGGAGAACCCATCACTATAGACACCAGAAATAGATCATAAAGGGATACTTTTAATTTTTTCTTTTCCCTGGTTTGTATGTCTTTGGAAAAGAATGTATGTTGCATTATAGCTGAGAAACCTGAGCTTTTCTGGCAAGCTGGGCAACCCTGGCAGCCTTTCCTTAAGCTTTGAGACCTGTCTCCCATTGTTCTGAGTTTCACCTGGCTTTGAATCACATGGGTTGTTTGGGGCAGATCTCTGGGCCCTAATTCAGATCTATTACCTTGGAATATCTTGGGACGGGATCAGAGAATCAACAATTATAGCTACCACACCAGATGATTAAGACGCTTGAGAAGCGCTGGGACTCATAGGGGCCCATGTTTAATGAGGTTGAGTTGCCAAAATCTCCCTGGCATAATGTAGAGAAAGGAATGCAAAAGCTCATTGAGATAGGAATGTTGGCATGCATTTATCACATGCCACCTGCACACATACCCTCTCATGCCTCCATTGTATTCCCAGGGAGGGCCTGATAACTTTCCCTTTTCTGAGACTTTGAGAATTACACTGGTGAAGGAGCACCTGCCACTTCAAGGAGCTCTTTGGTGGGTCTCTTCTGTAGGCCAGGTGTGATGTGGTAGATGCTGCCATTGAGGTGGACTTTCTGATTTCATGGGGTGATGGGATCCAGGAGTACCAAAGACCAAGTGGCAGAGCTTAGCTGCCAAAGACAAGCTGAATGCTTTGACCATGATGGGCTTCTGGGACACAGTGCTAATCAGAATGTTTTGACCTGCAGCAATCATTGGTGGTGGCTAATGAATCATATTGTCCCAGAAATGAAGTAGATGAGCAGCCCTCTAAAATTTTGCATGATCTTTATTCCAGGAAAACTCCAGGTTCAGGGCCAGGAATCAGGCTTGGGTCACCGCAATGGAGAGTCATGATGTCTTACCCGGTTTGCAGACTTATGCCAGTTCCTTGAGGTAGAGCCATTTGATTGATGTGGAGTTGGGGTCCTTTTGAGGAAGGACTCTAGTATATTAGCTAGTATGTGTCTCTATTTCACAAATACAGACTGTTACTTTTTTTTTTTTTTCCTAAACCAGAGCTATTGTCAAAGAAGAAACTTAAAAGAGAGTGATGGACTTTATTTTAAGCTCCAGGTTGTGGGAGTGAGGAGGCAGAGGGTAGTCAATTGCTCTTTCTTCTCCCTTTCTCTCTACCCCACAACCCCCTTTGGTGCCAGATTGTGTGATCCTGTGCCCTTTCCTGGGAAGGGATATGGCAGTGCTGTAAATCAGCTTATCAGATGGCTGAGGACTCATGGCCTTACCTTTCTGGACAGTTTTACAAGAAGGCAGAGGGAGTTCAGATGGAGAAGGGGCAATTTAGGTTCATATTTTCCAAACTCTGGAAGGTTTTCAGATAGTGAGAGATGGCTATTAAGATTATTTCAGAAAAAAATGTTTTATTTCCTACTGCTTGGCCTGGTTTTAAATGAAGAATGAAGGCTACATCAAGTAAAATGAGAGATTCTTAGAGTCAAAGGGAAAGATGAACCCTTGTCAACTTAATGTAAGTTCAGTAAATTTTTATTTAGAATCTTTTGTGTGCTGAGTGAGATGGATACAATGACAAAAAGAAATTAGTTTCCTATAGTGTATGAAAAAATACTCAAAACGTTTGAGGAATATAGTTAATGAGTTTTTTAAAAACTTGGTTATGTACTTTCATAAGGGTACATTCAGGGTGATACGGAACCTGAGATTGTTCTTTTTAAAGATGGTGTTTCATATGGGCTGTCATTATTCTTCTGTGTGGACATTTCTAGTTATCTAAGTACCTGATATAATTTTAAGTGTTTAAATGTGTACTAGCTTCAGTGTTACTTCCTACCTGGAGCTGAAGCCTGCCTCTCAGTACTTTGCATATTAAAAGTTGAAAATTCAAATGCTAAAACGGTCAGGCTGATCTTAGAGTAAGTGAAGTGGATGCGAGGTTATGTTGTTATACTTTTAGGCACACGAGAATATTCTCCTCTTCCAGAAATATGCTTTGTTCCATTTTTCTTCAAGCAGTCATTTTGACTCTTTTTTTGCCCATGTGTGGTAGTCATGTAGGCTCAAGAAATATTTCACTTTCCTCTTTACTGTACCAAAAAAAAAAAAATTGTATGCATAATGATAAATGAATGCTTTCAGGTTAGGAGTATGATAGGAATTAGTAGACACTATGGCAGTTTCTGAGCCCTTGTCCTCTTAAGATGGACACATAGATACTTCAATTTAGCCATGTAGGTCCAGAGTTGTCAGGTCTTCTAATATTTCAAGAGAAGCTGGATTTTCCTTTTCTTTCTTTATTTGAGGCAGAGTCTCACCCTGCCCAGGCTGGAGTGCAGTGGCGTGATCTTGGCTCACTATAACCTCCGCCTACTGAATTCAAGCAATTTTCCTGCCTCAGACTTTTGACTAGCTGGGATTACAGACGCATGCCACCATGCCAAGCTGATTTTTGTATTTTTAGTAGAGATGGGGTTTCACCATGTTGGTCAGGCTGGTCTCAAACTCCTGACCTCGTGATCCACCTGCCTCAACCTCCCAAAGTACTGGGATTACAGGCGTGAGCCACAGCACCCAGCCGAAGCTGGAAATTTTTATGTGAAGCCACCTGTTTTTAAAACACTGGTAAATAGAAAAGAGGTATGAAAGTGAAACAGAACAAACTGCAGGCTAAACTTAGCCTTTCGGAAGCCAGTTTGCAACATCTTTATTGACTTGTAGTTTTTTCCTAGGGAGCTACTTAGCGTAAGTGCATTCCTTTAGTATTACTTTCATTCATTCATTCATTCATGTGTATTCATTCATCCAAAATGCTTATTGTGTGATAATCATGAATGAGGCATTGTGCTAAACACTGTGGATATAGCCATATATATGCCAAAGATCTTTTCCCCTGGAGAACTTGGCATCATTTCTGTCATCTTTCTCTAGGCTGAGCATCTTCCATTTCCTCAAACCTACATTCAAGAGACATCATTTCTGATGGTCTTGCCTCTCTGCTCAGCATCCTGAAGTTCTTCTGGGAAGGTGCTCTGTTTAAAAAGCACTCTGAGGGTCTGCTGCCCCACATTGGATACCACCTATCTTGCCTCTCCCATCCTCAGGTAGAATACCTCCCTCTTCCCTGTCTCTGCACCTGGTAGGTTCTTCCATTGCCAGAATTCTTTAACATTTAATTAGCTGTTTAATTACCTTGCCTGCTCCTACTATGCTGTTAATTCTTTGGGAACAGATGCCACATCTTACTTCTCTTGATATCTCTGGACCTTGAATCATATCTGACATGTAGTACATGTTTAATAAATATGTGATTGTGTAAATTGAAATAAAAATTGTTTGACTTGTGCAGCTCCCTGTCTGTCTGGTTTGGTCTGTTTTGATAACCAAGACATATTAACTCTTTCGGTTGAAGGCAAATAAAAGCTTCAGGCAATTATCTATGTACAGTTTTGATCTAGACTGCAAGTATTTTGTTATCTTGTATATCCCCATGTGAGTATTTACTCTTACCACTATTCTGTCTAATCCTGTTAGAATTAGCTAACAATTTCAGCCATTTAAACTCTTTGTGAATGGCAGCTAGCCTTCCAGCGTATTAACTCTCCTTTCCAGATAAAGGCATTTTGTAATCTTGATAAGAATATATTGTATAGTTTCATTAAACCTTTGATAAAAATATTGGATAAAGGCCAGGCGCAGTGGCTTATGCCTGTAATCCCAGCACTTTGGGAGGCCAAGACCTGCAGATCACAAGGTCAAGAGATTGAGACCATCCTGGCCAACATGATGAAGCCCTGTGTCTACTAACAATACAAAAATTAGCCAGGTGTGGTGGTGGGCGCCTGTAGTCCCAGCTACTCAGGAGGCTGAGGCAGGAGAATCACTTGAACCTGGGAGGAAGAGGTTGCAGTGAGCCGAGATTGCATCATTTCACTCCAGCCTGAAAACAGAGCGAGACACTGTCTCAAAGAAGAAGAAGAAGAAAAAATATATATATATATATATATGTGTGTGTGTATATATGTATATATATGACAGAACAGAGGTAATATCAGAACCCTGTGACATACACTGAAGATTTCAGTCCGAGGAGACATCGATTGATTATTCACTACTCTTGGGTGTTTGCTGCAAATCTGTCTTAGGCTATCTCGTTTGCAGGGAGATTTTGATAAATGCCTTTGTTAAAATAAAGATGCAATGCATCTATCACATCCTATTTTCTATTAAATTATGAGGTTAATCAGTGAACCCCCTTTCTGTGAACCCATATTGTCTCTCAGAATCAGATTCTTTTCTCCGTGATCACATGTAGGATATGCTAGAACCTTTTGTTAGCATTTTGTCTCAAGCTCACTTGTCTATAATTTGGAGAATTCACTCTCCATCTTTTTAGATATTTAAAAAATACTCCTAACTCCAGATTCAGGGTGATTTCATAAAGCTTAGATTCACCAATGTTAGGTTCCAGGTAAGGGACTTTCACACCATTACGTCATAACTGCAGGGGCTCCTCATTCAGCAATTTATTTTATATTTTGGCATCTAACTGAATTTATTTCAAACATCAGGCATTCTGGTGTGGACCTTTTAAAGCTTCTGATGCATGAGCCATATCTTCTACAAGTGTGTTTTCTCTATAACCCCACAGATGGAATTGGGTGCATTATGTCCTGTTATTAAATTTAAGGCAGCTTTTAGAAGTCTCTCTGTTCTGCATTTCTGTCTCACAAAAGTATTTTTTAAGACGTTGACTAAACCTTGACTAAGTTCAAGAAATAATAACGTGGATAGTGCCATGACATTTTCAGATATGATGCATATGAACCACAAAGGTGACTCATGCCTACCATTTTATGCTATTTTTTTTGTTGTCTGTTTTTTGAGACAGAGTTTCACTCTTGTTGCCTAGGCTGGAGTGCAGTGGTGCAATCTCAGCTCACCGCAACCTCTGCCTCCCAGATTCAAGTGATTCCCCTACCTCAGCCTCCTGAGCAGCTGGGATTACAGGTGTGCACCACCATGCCTGGCTAATTTTGTATGTTTTAGTAGAAACGGGGCTTCTCCATGTTGGTCAGGCTGGTCTCGAACTCCCGAACTCAGGTGATCCACACACCATGGCTTCCCAAAGTGCTGGGATTACAGGCATGAGCCACTGCACCCAGCCCTTTATACTGTTTTTGGAAGGAGAAAGGGATATATGTTAAATGCCTGAAAAGAGTATGGTAATATAGTAATAATGCCATCCTTAATAATGCTTTTTAGATTTCAAATGGTCGAATAATATATACTTTGCGAAAATAAGCCTTATGTCCTCTTTTAAGAAACGGTGCTATTATTTGTAATCCAAATTTATTATCTAAATTTTAGGATGCTTGAGAATAGTCAAATTTATCAAGGATTTGGTTCGTTAGATGTCTTGCCTTTCTCACTATTGCCATTTTTACAATTTACACTGTGAGATGCATTCTTGTATATTTACTCTCCATATTTTATATGTATATGTACATATATATGTATTTATATATATACTTGTGTATATATATTTTATATATATTTTGTATTTTATACAAACTTTTCTGGTTACTCCCTTATGGAAAATTCCTGGAAGTGGAATTTTCAGTCAAAAGTATATTCCTTTTAAAGCATCTGACGCACGTTACCAACCAAGAGGCCTTCCAATTTGGACACCTACCAATTGGATGTGAGATTGCCTGTTTTCTCTCATCATCTTCACTGGTGTGAATGAATTTTAGATGAATGGCTTAGTTGGTCTGGAAGGCTCAGCCTGATGAAGTGGAAAACAGTGTCAAATCGGCCTCAGAGGGGTGGGCTCCTAAGGAACTGTATCCAAGTACTCCAAGGACCAGCACTCGGTCTTGCCTTTCCTTAACAATTCTCCCATCCCAAGCTTTCTGACTTGAAGCAGCCCTGTGGCCTTGTGTGTGTTCCTACATAGGAAGGGCATGCTGGTCTCTCTGCTTTAGTTGGACCTGTGAGTTCTCTAGTCCACTGCCTATTCCTTTTTCCCTCTGGATGGGTAATTTCCCACCAGGTTCCTGTATTGAGGATGCTGCAGTGTGTGCAGACTCGTGGGTCTGCCAACATACAGCTGGGACAAATCTTGCATCAGAGCCCTGGAGTTGGATCCAATACAACAATTCATTTTTCTAGGCTTAGTTAAAACTCTGATTACTTCAGTGGGAGTGAAAATGGAGTTTATTAGTAAGTATGACATTTACATTCATATGTCCAAATAAAGCTTGAGATGTTTAAAATTCTGTAGATTAAAGCTGTGCACAATTACGTCAATTATTTAGAATATGTGTATGTCATCTCTAAAGATGACTTTTTCATTCTTAGTTGTTTTGGCAAAGAGGAGCTGTTTCTATAAGAGAAGCAGACCAAAGGCCTGCAAATTGAAGACCTGGGATTGCTGTTTTGGTAAAATGGACTAGAGTATAGGCAACTATAGTCAGGACCACTTAGGGTATTGATGCTCCCTGAAAAGAACCATACCTTGCGCAAGAGTATTTTTTCTGTAACCCCACAGACTCAATTGGGTGCATTATGTCCTTTTATTAAATTTAAGGCAAGCTTCAGAAGTCTCTCTATTCTGCTTTTCTTTTTCATAAAAGTATTTTTTTACGATGTTGAACAATTGTTTTTCCTTCCCTTTGTGGTTCTCTTTCAGTTTCCTTGCAACAGTCTTAGAAATCAGGGACTGAGATCTGTGGGAATTTTTGTTAAAAAACATTTCATACACATTCTGGAACGTGATGCTTTTGCTCATCTTTTCATTCAGCTGCAGCTGGTAATAGCATGTAGGTTCCCTAAAGCTTCCTTTGTGGGGTGGTAATTAGATGAAGCTTCCAGATGCATTATCTGGTTCCTGGTGGCACCACGGGCGAGAGAACACATTCATGTCTCATTTGTCCCAACTGTGACTATAATCGTAGTTTCATGGTTTCTGTTCATCTCCAGTGTCTGTGACTCTGACCCACCGCCCTTTGGACTTTCAACACTCAGTTGCTTAGAAAGAGCCAGCAAGAAAGCAAGAATATTAAGGGAGTGTATTTGCAGTAGCCACAGAGTGAGGGACAGACAGGCTCAGCACCTGTTTGCCTGCCTTCTCGGTGAGACCAAAGTTCCCTGAAATAATATTGTGTTGTATATGCATGGATTTCTGCACATGGGACATTCTGAAATAGGAAAACTGTGATATATACCCGAAGATAAAAATTAACCCAATGTTAGGAATCATTTAAAAATCATTAATCCAATAGCTTATCTTTTTAAATGATGGATTCTCTCTGCTTTCCTTCTGCTTATGTTGAGTTTGTAAATGCAATTTTTTTTTCTTTTTTTTTTTTTCACAGGCTTAACATATTTTTGACTGGTATGAACCCATTCTACTTTCATGCAGTAAATATAATTTTACACTGCTTAGTGACTCTTGTGCTGATGTACACCTGTGATAAAACTGTCTTCAAGAATCGTGGACTTGCTTTTGTAACGGCATTGCTTTTTGCTGTGCATCCTATTCATACTGAGGCGGTAAGTGTAATTGGATCTCAATGAAATAACGAATATGTATATATGTGTTTGTATGTATACATGTATACACACACATATATATACATGTATATAGGTGTGTATATATAGATATGTATGTATGTATATATATACATATAAGCTAAGCTGATCTTTTTTCCCTTTCAAAACCATGTGAGTCACGCTACTCAAGTGTTTATATTTATATATAAATTATTTTGTTTGACATCATTTCCTTTTGAGTGTTCAAATTGGTTTTATTGCACCTCCTGGATTTAACTGCTTTTCTAAATAACTGCTGTTATTATTACAGGTAGTAATGAATGGCCACAGTTGTTTCAGTTTTGTATTTGCAGAAAATTTAAGTCCTAATGTGTTTTAAGCAGCAAGGGCCACTTTGAGGCACTTAGCATGCTGAGTCATTGTTCCTGCTCCACATTTATATTTTACCTTTTCTCACTCTGCTTTATATTTATAATGTTTATTATGCAGAACTGTAAGTGCTGGAAGAGGACTATAAAAAGTTAGACTGACATTCTTCAAGTTAGAAAGACAGACTTAGGAGCCTTATATATTGTTTCCCAAGTTACTTAATAGGAAGGGTAGTTATTGTATGAGTGATGAAAAATGTATTTAAAAGTATTGGCTGGGTATGGTGACTCATGCCTGTAATCCCAGCACTTTGGGAGGCTGAAGGGGGCAGATTACTTGAGGTTAGAAGTTCAAGACCAGCGTGGCCAACATGGGAAACCCCATCTCTACTAAAAATACAAAAAAACTTAGCTGGGCATGGTGGTGGGTGCCTGTAATTCCAGCTACTCGAAAGGCTGAGGCAGGAGAATCGCTTGAACCTGGGAGGTGGAGGTTGCAGTAAGCCAAGATCGCACCATTGCACTCCAGACTGGGCAACAGAGTAAGACTCCATCTCAAAAAAAAAAAAAAAAAAAAAAAAAAAAGGTATTGATAGTTTGAAGCTATGGTGCTCTTTAAAATATCTATTTCATCATTTCTTGAAGCAGACGGCATTTTTAATTTACTTTGTTTCCCATCTCAGTAAACACAGCTGTTTGTTTTATGTGTTTATGGGTAGATGAAGACTTGATGAGAGGTCCATGGGCACCACAGTTTTACAAGACTTTTCCAGAGCCTTAGCTTGCATCTCTCTGGACACTCCCCTTAAGCTGATCTGCCTGAAAACACACCTGCAGTAAAAATGTCATGGTGGTCCCCTTTACCCTTTCTCACTTGCCCTCTGCCCGTTTTAACAAAGTTAGGGACTACCTTGCATACACCAGCATCTTACTATGCCCCAAGTGTACAAACCTCTGAGGCACCTTACAAAGGAATAGTCTGATATTGGTTTCAGCAAGGCATCCTCCAATTAAGGCATCACAAACCCAAAGTAGGGCTTCACGTCTTTCCCTAACTCATATCTCTATGAAGAATACCACATGGCCTTAGAAGTAAGGTATGGTGGCCTGTGTTGGTGTTCTGAATTCAGGAGTGACATAGTTGTCATGGGGATGCATAATAATATGTGTATTTGAATAGACACAAGAAGTCTGATTTGACTAGTTGGTTTGATGATGAGGACTAGTTTGCCATTTAGACTATGATGGGCAATTTTCATCAACAAAATTCTAAATCTGTAAGCTCAAAGTTTTGACAAAAATATATTTTGATTGGGTGATAAAGCATGATCACTTTATAAAAAATTGCATTGTCGAAGGTCATTTTTCCAACTCTTTGTATTTTAGACTGAACAAGGTGCCTTTAAGTGGATGAGTCTGAGGCATAAGTAATAGTTCTTTGTTGAGTCTCAGTAAAGCCTTTCTGCTGTACTTAAAAGAAATCATGACAGTAAATGACTGTAATGACAGGTGACTCAAATGATGGCTATGTTTAAATTATTTGCTTTTGATCAAATTAAAGGAGGACTTGATTGCATTGTCAGCTGGTAGATCATTAAAAATTATGTAAGGTGATAGATCATTATGTGATATTTGCCAATAACTTGGAGTTCAAAGAATAAAGTCATTGCTGTAACAGGCCTACTTCCATTTTCACTTATTTATGTGAACAGCCTATGAAGATGAAAGCTAGGAATAGTTAGTATTAATGCTGCTGGCTGTCGTAGTCTAACAAAAGGTAAGATTCAGCCACAGACAACTGAACTTATTGAAAAGACATCTGCTATACCTAGATTATTAAGAGGTAATTTTTTATATTTATTATTTATCACTTTCTGCTTTATGATATATCAAACATCTGTGAATTAATAATTAGAGTAGTAATCCAACACGTAGAAGCTTATGGTCAAAAAAATTTAAATATAAATTTAATAGTATATATTTTTAATATAGGGAGAAGGATGATAAATACAATATTCTTAAGCATAGCTTAAAGCATAACTATGTAATTCACAAAAATGGTGAGGGGGAAGCACAATGAGTGTGAGTTCAAGGAGAAAGGGTATGAAGTGTCTACCAGTTAAAGAAGAGTCTATTCATGTTTGGGTACATGGAAGATGATGAGCTTCAAGTTGCTATAGTGTTCAAATTCCACTTGGTAGATTTAAAACAGGAACATTATGACCTTATTTTAAAATGTTAATAGCTGCAATGCATATGAAGTTAGATCCTTTTAAGTATTTAAAATTATGATGAAAATTTTTTGAAGTGAATTGAAAATAAATAAGAGCAATACTTAAGGTTTTAATGTGCCTTTTGGATAGAATATGAAGAAAAATAATCAAGGACTACTACTGCTAGACATACAGAATATATGATGCTTGGCCAATGGCATGTTTTAATATAAAACCATAGACAGTATTTTATTTCTGACAGACAGTTCTTCAAGTACAATTGGAAATCTGTGCTTAGAGTATCTTGGGGACAATTGCTGTAGAAAAGAACAAATGAGTAGGACAATAACAGTTTCAATTCAGAGGTATCGGAGAGAGAGTGCATAAAACACACGCAGCCTTTGGCAGTGTGATTAGGAACTGGTTAAGGTTGGGTCCTAAGAAAAGGAGAAAATCCTATTAGCAAAATGGCCTTTAAAAAAGCATTTCAACACGTTTTCGTACTAATCAAAAACAATCCATAGGAACACAATGAAAGGGACAGAGGAGTCTGAGAGCTGGATATTTAGGGAAGGATGTTAGGGAGGGTGCTTACATTCATAAGGCTCTGAAGGAAGTGTAAGAAGGAGGCGGAGAAATTTAGCCTGCAAAACAATTTCCATGACAAAGTAAAATTAGAGGTCTTATTATTTAGTCATAGATTTCAATTCATGTTTCTAAGTAGGAGGAGGACAGAGAAATAGGAAAAGAGATGTACTTTCCAGAAGATAGAGAGATAAATTATTATTATTATTATTTGAGACAGGGTCTCACCCTGTTGCCCAGACTGGAGTGCAATGGCATGATCATATCTTACTGCAGCCTCCATCTCCTGGGCTCAAGTAATCTGCCCACCTCAGCCTCTCTAGTAGCTGGGACCATAGGTGCTCACTGCCATGCCCTGCCTTTTTTTTTTTTTTTTTTTTTCCTTCAGTAGAGACAAGGGCTTGCTATGTTGCCTAGGCTGGTCTGGAATTCCTGAGCTTAAGCAATCCTCCTGCCTTAGTCTCCCAAAGTGCTGGGATTACAGGTGTGAGCTACATCACCTGGCCCTAACAATTTTTTTTTTTTTTTTAAAAAAGACCTTGGCTTTGTGGGAGAGGGAATTACTGGGAATTATCTCCTCTTTGTTAAAGAAGAACAAAAATGGGATCATAAATTATCTCAGAAAGGATGGAAAATTTTAATTTTTTAACTGGGGTTTAATTTGAACACATTGATATGATTAAGCATTTGCTTTATTAATTACGTAATCAATAAATAGTTAGTGAATACAAATACAGTGTCTGCAAAAGATTGGTCCCAGGACCCCTAAGGATACCAAAATCAGAGGATGCTCAAGTCCCTTAAATAAAATGCTGTAGTATTTGCATATAATCTATACACATCCTCCCATATACTTTAAATCATCTCTACATTCCTTATGATACTATGCAGATAGTTGTTAGACTATATTGGTTTTTATTTATATTATCTTTATTGTTGTATTTATTTACTTACTGAATATTTTTGATCATCAGTTGGTTGACTCCAGGGATATGGAGGGCTGACTATACTTGCTTGGCGTAAGGCATTCTACCAGGGGAATATGTGGGTGAACAGCAGGATTCCTACCCACAATTTCACAAACTCATTGAAAAGCCAAAGAACGTGCATATAAATAGATGCAAGATAAAGCAATATGTTATAAAACAAAACAAGAACTCTAGCAGAGAGCAAAATTATATTTAATTTAAGTCAATAGGGACAAATTCATTTATTTACTCAATCTTTCAATGAATATTCAAGTGGCTATAATACAGTGACTATAAGATAGTCACTCAGTGCAGGGGTATAGCAATAAATGAGGCAGAGCCAGAGCTTTCCTCACTTAAGCCTTTGAGATTACTGGAATGATTTCCTGACAGTGTATTTATTGGGTAATTTGTGTTTTTATGAATCCTGAATCATGACAACAATCAGTGGAGACATTGGGAAAATGGAGGAAGTTATTGTAATTCTTCTATGATAATTAAAGCTTAGTCATCGTAGAGACGTTACAGATTTGCAGAAATGCACTTAGGTCAAGTTGAGAGCAAGGGCAGAAAACGCAGATATATGGAGTTGACGGTGAAGGTCAACATTTTCAGAATTGGGATAGGAAGACTTAAGAGAAAATTAGTTATGATCAAATCTAATCAGTCCATCTGGTTTTTAGCTGTTTCTATGCGTTAGTTGTGTGTTCCTGGACCTGTCTGACATTAATGGACCTCATACTTGCAGATAAAATAAATACCAATAGCCTTCTACATATATAGTATACTTTATACAAATCTTATTGGTGATGTTCCAAAAGACAAGTTTCTAGGGCAAATTAACTCCTAATTTGCAATTTGTGTTA